AAACAGTCAAAATCTTTGCTGCCATGTGGAAAGCTATGAAAGATTGTGATGAAGAAGACTGCATGTTATGTGAAGATTAATGTTATCGTTTGCCCAAACCAATTGTATTTGTTATCAATCTGTAGCACGAGAAAGTATCAAAAATCACAACTCGCAAAGTATATGGTTCAAATGAACAATGATATTTTCGGCCAAGACGCTAAATACCCTGCTGGCAGAATGTTGGATGGATGTGCTCTGCTGCACCAATTTTATGGACAAAGGTTGAGACAACGAACACTTTCGTGTGACTCATTTCTTTATTTTGTGGTGCATTACGAAGCACTCTTTATCAATCTTAATTTATGTAATTGAGTAAAATAGTAAAACAAATAATAAAAGAGTAAGATGTGGATTCTTTAGCCCACAACTTCCCACATCTATTATCACCCTCAAATGCAAATTAAATAAAATATTAATTTTAAGACTTTGTTAATGAAGCGAAACTTATAAAGTTGATGACATGTTGATCTACATCACCTTCTGGTGGCTTGCAGGCAAACTATCTGTGCTGATGATCTTACCATTCTACCCGTCTTCTAACAAAACGTCCCTTGTGCCAGTTCATGGAACTATAACGTTATTGCTACCGAATCCCCCCTAATGTTACTTCGTTGAACTGTGTTTCCAGAGGTTGTTATTATCTTAGGGGAAGGGTGACATGATGGGAGTTGCTAGCAATGACGTTATAGTTCCATGAAATAGTTCCATGAAGTGTTTCCAGAGGTTGTTATTATCTTAGGGGAAGGGTGACATGATAGTTCAACGAAGTAACATTAGATTTGTAATTTTTATAACGCTTATCAATCGGAAAACTTCAGATATTTGATCAGGAACCTTTACAGAGTTCGAACATTACAAATTATTTAACTTCAGTGGATTCTCATCGGATACTAGTATTTTTACGAAAATATTACCTAACTTCAACGGTGGAAAACCTAGTGTGTGTGGCCAAGGACAAAGCTAGCTAGCTGATTGGCTGCCTTAGGGGGAGGGGAGAGATAGAAACGATCACTTCTGTAGCTGATTATAGCAAACTACTAACAGACACTCTCTTATGCGCGTCGCGTTGGTTGTATTTATAGGTTTTCTAGAAAATTCAGATCACATAACAATACTGAGCTATATTTAAACATTTACATATACAGATATAATGTTGATTCTTATTCTCGAGAATCTTCTACAACTTTGGAAAATAAGCGGGAGTTTCGCAATAAATATCTAACACTACAAGATATGCATGTTTTTTAAATATAAACTTAATCTAAACAACGTTCATATTAAAATAAATACATAACAAGAAATGAAGTCCTTTCTTGATTAAACCACTTTATTCGTCCTAGATACAAACTTTTAGTACACAGTAGTTCCACAATCAGTACGTTTCTCGTCACTTTCAACTTAACGACTTTTATAATACACGCTATAAATCACAGCTATTCACAATCTCGATAACTTCGCTCTCGACGAGTGCAAAACACACTTTACGGCTCACTAGCTCGAAACTAAGAGAATCATAAATTACACGGAACTCAAAGTAACTACTGCTCTCTCTTCATTTATCCCTGGTGGTTTTCTCTGCCAGGCTTATATACTAATGAAGAGGGCATCTCGAACACACTCGGACTTCCCCGCGCTGGTAGCGTGCGTGATGAGTTTCTCGAATGATCAACGCGTCAGCAGCGTCACGTGACTTCCGCTGTCGTAACAATAACCTAACATGTGTAACTTTATAGAAACAAATAAGATTCTGTTGTTATCTTACTAAAGGTCATTGATAGTTAAGGCCCAAAAGAAATATATTTTATATTAAGAGTAGAATAAATTATTATAAATCCGACAAGAGCTACAAAATAATAATAATAATATGCAGAAAGAAAAGTTAGAAAACTCATATACGGAACTTAGAGACAGAAATATTTTATTTATTATTGCGCAAACACTTTTGTAATAATGATGCTACATCATTTGACCTGCATTATAGAACCACAGAGCCATGAACACACTGAAAGCTCAATAAGGATATGAGCAATCTTGTACATATATCATACACTGTTATACACTTAAGTAGCACTACATGTTTCGTAGCAGAAACTGAACGTTAGAAACTCAATAATATTACACTATTAAAAACATCATTCGTAAATTATTCACGTAAAGGTTTGTTTTAAAACGTCCATAAAAGAGATAATGAATCAGTTATGAACGTTCCAAAAATTGGAGAAGTATCTTGTCAAAATTAAAGTTTAAAGCCAGTAATTTATAGCAAATAATAGCCTTGAAAACTTTTAATAAATAATTTTGTAGCATTTAGTGCCATTAAGAGCAAATATTATTTTAGGTATTTAGGTGATTCTATGTTATACATTATTAAGAAAACGTTTCTTGCTAAACAAAATGATTTTGTTACTGAATGAGATGTAGGATCAACTTTTGAGACAATTTCACGCAACATTTCGATACTAAAGCTCTTGTCAATATAACCCAAATTAGTATTTTTGCAAACAATGCAATACAGTTGTACGTTACACAAAATCAGTTTTGGGTTCAGTCACTAACTTCATTTGAAGCAATTCAAGCTTGTAATTTTGAAATTATGAAAATTTTTCTTGTTTATTTCTTGTTAAGCGCAAAGCTACAATCTGTGCTCTACTTACTGCGGGTATCGAAACCTGACTTTTAGCGTTATAAGCAGTGAAAACTTAACTGCTGAGCCCCCAGGGAATTTTTTTTTTAAAAAAAACTTTAACTATAAACGCTCCTCCAGTGGGACAGCGGTAAGTTTAAGGAATTACAACGCTAAAATCCGGGGTTCGATTCCCAGCGGTGAACACAGCAGAAAGCCCAATGTGGCTTTGCTCTAAAACAAAAACAATTCGAAGCGAATAATCCCAGGAAATCAAAGTGGAAAAATTAGTTCTCGATAGTGAATAACAAAACGCAACTCAGGATTAACAGGTTAATCTGAATAGTTTTTTTTTTGAAGTGCAAATAATGGTGTTCAAATAAAGTTTCTTCAGCCTACAAACAACCAAGGTTCTATGGCTTCATATGTAAAATAACTATATTAGTATTCTGAAACAAACGAATCAGATTCTGTCATGGGGGGAGGGATCTCCTACCGGCACCGTATTTCCAACCATCAAAGGTAAATACATGGAAAAACGCCACACCTCTACACAGCTGTTAAGTTGGTGCCAGAACTATGAAATGGATTTAACACGGCTGGTCTTTCTCAGCAAATAACTTTAATCAAAGTTTACAATTTTATTATTTACATTTTCTAAAGAAGAAAACGTATTTTAATTATTGTTTATTAATAATGTATAACTTCTCTACATACTAAGTAATTTATCGAAACTCCGTATCTTGCTGGCTTGGTATCAGTCATAATTAGTGCCCCAAACACTAATATCTTGCCGGTTTGATATCAGTTGTTAGTTAGTGCCTGAAACACAATACCTTTTTTTTTTGGCTCGATGTCAGTTGTTAGTTAATGCCCGATACACTATATCCTATCGGCATGATATCAGTAATATTTGAAACATACGTAAAAAAGAATACTATCAAACATCATTTTTATAAATAAAAATACAAAATAGTATAAGGTAGATCTTTAATTTTTTTAAAAGTCTGATCAAACTACATTATTCATTCTTAACACATACATTTACTTTTGTTAAGTCACGTTACCCGATGTAAGATTATTTCAAAAAAATACAGATTAATATGTGGCGTATAAAATTAGCGTTATCCATGTATCAAACTAGAATAATTTATCGTTTTTTTATATTGTTACACTACAAAGAAAAAAAAATCAAAATCACAAAGCAACATAAAATATTTGTAAGTCGAATATATACACATATGTGACTAAATATTTTTTATTTTAACAAAGTCCCAACTGTGTGAACGTTTCAACAAAAAATCTCAATTATGTGAACATTTCAAGTTAGGATACAATGAAGAAGAAATGCTTGTTTGTTTGTTTTGAATTTCGCACAAAACTACACGAGGGCTATCTGCGCTAGCCGTCCCTAATTTAGCAGTGTAAGACTAGAGGGAAGATAGCTAGTCATCACCACCCATCGCCAACTCTTGGGCTACTCTTTTACCAACGAATAGTGGGATTGACCGTCACATTATAACGCCTCATGGCTGAAAGAGTGAGCATGTTTGTGTGACGGGGATTCGAACCCGTGACCCTCAGATTGCGAATCGAGCGCCCTAACCACCTGGCCATGCCGGGCCACAAGAAATGCATACAATATAGCTAGATGCACGCAGTTTACCCTATTAGCATAATGAACTAAACATTTCTTAATTAATCATAAGAAGGACAAATAAATTCTACAAATTTAGGACTTTGGAGTTAAATTTCTTATAAATGATCAAACATAACTATCAATATTGAATAGTAAATGCGAAGTCAAATATAAATCAAAAAGTATATTTACATCAACTCTTCGTTAGTTAACATGTGTTGGTAATATTAGGTTAAAAGTAACATAGTTATATATATATATATATATATATGTTAAATTGATAAGTGTTACGACTATAAAAAATACAGACATTTTAATAACAAAAATGTATATATACATATATATTGAGGAATAGTGTTATACATTACCGCGAACATTTTGGTTGAGCAGTTAGTCTATTAGGAAGTCATGTGCCTGAAGAAAACAGAGATTCGTTGATTTAGTCCGGTTTCATCCGAGTATGGTAAGCTAAAAATACTAAATCAAGTTAATTGTTTGTATTAATGTATAAAATTTCAGTGATTAGAAATTTTAGAATATACCACGAGCCCGGATGTTGATCAACGTAATTGTAATTTCCTACTTTGAGGCAGAAATCATCGCTATTTTAAAAAAGACAAATCACATCCTGTTCTGAAAGTCAGTCGTAATCTGGGTGTGAATGTCTGTCATTAATTTTCCTGAATTCTATAGATTTCTGTATTATTCTTAACAGCTTTGCCCGATCCGTCAAAGCGGGGGTTCCCGCCCCTCCTTTAGCGAGCTTTATTCACCCTTCGCCATAAAATAAAAACAATCACACATTTAGAAAATAAAAACAATTTTCAAGTACACTCTCAAAAAATCAAGAAAAATAGTGCAACTTAAATTAAAAATGACTTATGATATGAGCATTATGTACACACAAATTGACAAGTTATATATATTACATTTTAATCAGCAGAAAAATAATAGTATCGCATGAAATTCTTATTTATTTATTTTTCTACTTTTCAGTTTATCCTCTACATCATGATTATATCGAAAATGTTTACATTAATTTCTAATGTTAAAAAGCGTTCTGAAAGAAATAGGACAGTTTTGAGCATATTAGCCCCCAGTGGTACAGCGGTATGTCTGCGGACTTACGACGCTAGAAACCGGGTTTCGATACCCGTAGTGGACAGAGCACAGATAACAAGCTATTCATGTTGTAACATTTAATGACGTCATTCTTCATAACTAGAGATTTTAAACACATTTTTAATATGTTACCAAAAGATAGACACTGGCTGTTACATATATTAGATCAGTTATCCCGGTTAGTTATAAACAATTCAAGGCAGTAGAAGTCCAAGGTCTCACTAACATAATCTTATCACCCAAACCTTGACGCATAACGTCCCAGCAGAAATTGTTAAAGTATACCCAATTTATCTATTTTATAAAGTTGTTTTACTCAAGTGGCTCTTTGGTAAGTGGAAGATTTCACACGTACCAGAATATATTCTTTTATTACGTCATATAACCTAAAAAGTACGGTTTTAACGCCGAAAGAAGTTGACACACCCAAAAACCAATAGGCCTACGGTTTGTGATAAAATTATATCACAAAGATCAAACCTAAAAATTAATTTGAAATAGTGTAATTAGTTAAGAATGAAGGTAGTACGTTTAAAAGAAACATGTTTTGTCCAAAAAAGTAATAATAAAATTTCAGGAGAAACGTAATAAAAACATACGCATTGTGTTCATTTACCTCTAAATCAATGTTTTTAAAATTCGCCAAGAACTTCGAAATATCTATGTCAAGCTAAGAATAAAGAAAAACGTACAACGATCTACAAAAGTGAAATTTAAACCAGCCCTCATGAACGTTTGAAGTATTATACATGTTCTTAAGGCAACAATATCAGGCCATAGTTTTGTTGCTCAGAAACACAGACGATTCAAGCGTTACCATAAGACAACTGGCTTTTATATACATTAGATAACTTTTCTTGCACTATATTAGGTGTATTGTTTGTTGAAGAAGCTTATTAAGTAAAAATTTTGTTTGTAATTACGCACAAAGCTACACTTCTGTGTTCTGCCCACCACGGGTATCGAAACCTGGATTCTAGCGTTGTAAGTCTGCAGACATATCGCTGTACCACTCGGGGGCATAAAGTAAAAATATCAGTAGACAATACACATGAACTTTTCTCTACGTTAAAATACTTTTATTTGCGACCTTTCGGCCCTCTTACCGTTTACTGTGGAACACTGCTTTGAAATAGGTATCCAGGCAACAATCGTAACAATAACAGACATCTGGTATTAAAGTTATTAAACATACAAAATTGAAAACCACCATTTTGAACAAAACAAGATATTAAAATCAACGTACTGTTAAAAATGTTTAATTTCCCTAGCTCTTCGAGGGTACTGAAATCGGGTCCGTGTATGTGTGTGTATGTTTCCGCGCGCGTATCTAGAAAACTAATAGACTGATGTACACGAGTTAAGGGGGGTAAGAGGTCAAAAATTAGTCTGACCCCCCAAAAGATTGCTACCGAAATAGCGATGCAGACCTTTGATTGACTGACGAAAATTTTACACAAGATGGAAAATTAGTATAGGACAATCTTCTCCAAATTTGGTCCGAATCTAAATCCAGATCATCTTGAAGCATTTTTAGAATGGGGAGATAGGGCATTTTCGCGGCTTCCGGTTTATATCTTTGTAAAGTGTAACCGGACTTGTACCAAATTTCATGGGCAGACTAAGGTTGAGTCCTCATTATATTACAAAAAACATCCGAATCGTTTATCATTCTGGAATCTTAAAAAGGAGCAGCAGAACGAGGTTATGGGAATCTCTTTGATTGCTCTTGTTTTGTATGTTCTTAAGGGGTGCTACTTTTTTTTTAATATTACATTTGTCATATACCATTTGGATCACAAAGAACAACAAATTTTAAAATATAAATTATTAAAACAGCGAGGTTAATATTTTTCGGAATACAGTCATTATTGAGAGAAATTTGAATTGATAATCGCTGTCTTATCTTTTAGACTTCATGTTTGTATGGATATACTATTTTGTGCCAAGAATTTTGCTTTTCTTCAGATAAAAGAATTTTATTATATGCACGTTAGAAGCCTGAGTCCAAAGCATGAAACACAGATTTCAAGAGTTCATGAAAGACTGTAAAAGAAAGGTATCATTTTGACTTACATGACACATTATTACATATTAGGCATAATACAATAATTTGTAATATTAATAGTAGATTAGTAGCTAATCTTCTAGCTTTAATTATATACTTGGCTTCTCTTTTGCAAGAATCCTTTTCAATTGGTATCTATAAGTTCTCGTATGGACCATATTAGCGTTCCGGACTGAGCATTTCATAACTATCTCTTAGTTTTTTCTCTAACTACTCTTATTGACAGTATGTTTTTGGTTATTATATTGCACAAATTAAAAATTGGGCCAATTAAATGTCATCCATTGGGCATTTCGTAAAGAACTAAGATGTCGTGATACTGATCATTACCCAACCCACCATCAATTTTTGACATTGTTTCCCAGAAAGACACCCCACAAAGTCTGAAAACAGCCACCATGCTTCTCTGTTTTCCTTGTGTACTCTTTATTAAATCGCTCATGGTCACATATCTATACAATAAAAAATGTCAAATTTTGAACAACAACAACTCCATCTTTGTATCATTATATTCCAAACTAAATTGTCTCATTCCCTAATAAATATTGAACATTTCCATGTAGATTACTACCTTGCAATCGCTGTTTCTAACTGCATGTACTGTGCCTTTTACATTCGATTATTTCAGCGTATTGTAAAATTGGTGTGATATTGAATTGTTCGATGGACACTGCTCTCCGGTACAAATATCTTCTGGACGTCCCGTCTTCTTATTCGACTTTAAACTCCCAGTTTTAGTAAAACGATTTGATGTTCTTTGAACTGTTTTCGAGAAATTTACATTAGGTTATCGTTTTATTGTACAAGCCAATATTTTATGTTAGTACTCATTGTCTAACTTTAGGAAAGTTTAAGCTTGTAAAGTTTGAAGTTAGCGTTTTATTCGTCATTCCTTACAGTTACCTTACTTGAAACAAGAATGTTGATGATTTAAAACAGGTGTAAAAAAGTAAAATAAAATCCATAGTTCATGGTGTCAAGTTATAGATATGCAATTTATTTCCTGATAATATATATAAAGTAAACAACCGTATTTATTATATTTATAACAAACTACGTAGATATAAATTGTTCAGATGGTATCATTAATATTTTACCTACCGTGGTTCCATTCTTACAGCAATACAAGACATTTTTCTATTGTTATTGGATTCAGTTTTTATGACTGGTTGTGCATGTATACATTAAGTGTTTACCCAAATATGAATTCAGAAAAAGACTTGGGTGACAAGGTTTGTAGAATGTAGTTCGAGATGAACTTTTACGCTGTAATTATTTTATGTATAATACAAAAGAGGCGATCAGTTTAACTATTTCCTGTCAATGTTTCCTAAATCCTTAATTGATCTTTTCGTAACTGTATTAAGAAAATTCGTGCAACGTTTACGTCAAGAGAATCAACAGAAAATGCATTTTTTTTCTATTATTTGTAGATAGTTAATCATTAAAACAACAAGTTCAGTAAATGTCAAGACACGAATGAGCCCCAAATTCGGCCTTTCGCTATCAGGAAGGTCTTTACCTGATATTCCTTGTTAAAGGTTGACAAGTTTATTTGGTATTCTTAGCATCAGGGAATACCAAGCTTTAGAATTATTTTTGTCAAGATAATTTTTTTTTCAAATTACTTATGTTTAAAACAAACTTTGTTTTATTGGTGATGTTAAATAATCTTATGTGCACAGGCGTGAGTCCAAGCGCGCATTCCATGATCTTTTACAGCGCCATTAAACATGACATTATGGATTTGATGTCAGGGTTATCAACTATTCATTTGACCTTATACTGCTGATTTAGCAATAGCTCTTGGTAGAGGAGAGTAAATACGAGATACAATATACAGGAATACTGAATAAAACTGTAGATATGCATTTAGAAGGTTGTAGAGGTCATGCAAATACCATATGTAAACTATTCGATGGGCAAAAGTATTTTTGTTCTTCACAGGAACATTACTTTGCAATCCGATTTGTCAGAGTTAGACTAATGTCAATTCACAGCCATATCTTACTTTTAAGACCTTTAGTAACACATCTGATTTTTTGTTTACAAAAGACTTGTAGATTTTACTAAAAATACATTTCGTGTAGATACACGTAATAAATTTGGGATTATAGTCAACATTATTTCTCCAATATGGGCTTGGTCCAACGGACTGAGCCAGTGCACACTATGATAAATGATATCTACAACAGTTACATTGCTCAAGTACTTTTTAAACTTTAGTTAAAAATTGGTTATTTGGTTGACTGAGTAGTAATAAATTAATCTTGTATACATTTTTTTTTCAATCCAGAATTAAACATTTTAGAAACAGCAATATGTTTGTTTTGTATTTTCGCATTGATAGTGAAAAAAATAGAGGTAGAAAACGGTATACTTATTGAATACTAGGTGGAGTAGCCGTCCATTGGAAGGGTAAAATAAAAACACGTTTGTAACAAAGGAGAGAAAATGGTGTTTATATATTTTTTCTTAACATAATAAACATTAAAAGTGCAATAGAAATACATAAAGGTA